TACTGACGAGGACGACGACGAGGACGGAGGACGACGACGGCAGGGAGACGGGGAAGACGAGGACGATCAGGACGACGACTACGACTTCTGGGTATTGTCACGGGTTACCTTGCGTGTACGAGTCTGGACTCCGACAGCTTCACCCGCAACTTAGATGGGGCATGATTTCCGGGGCACTTCTGGAGAATGGATGTTCCCCATCAAAATGTGTAGAGTCTGGGGCGGCTTCAGGGCATTGTGGGCGTGAAAAGCCGGAGTTACTTGGATTTAGAGATCCGTTTACATATACTTGAGGTTCTGGATTTAGCTTTGCGCTTCGCACGGCCAAGGCTTATAGACACACGGCAAGATGCAGGAAATTACAAATTGAAAGTCTGCATCGGTTAAGCTCTCTCTGTCTTATCTCTTCTCCTCAAGACTGATCCTGCTTGTGCTCGCTGCTGCTCAGAACAACACAACCCCACTCGTTTGCCCTCCGTTTGTCCTCGTGTGGCTTTTGTCACTCTTTTCTGCTTTCCTGCTCGTGTCTGGTCTAGTGTCTAGATGTCTACTTGAAGCACTGTTTCGACGCTGGCATCCTTATTCTGAAGGATGCACGGTCGGATCCCCAGTGAGATTCTCATGGTCTGGAAGGGGTCAGACTGACCTGAAACATAGGCCCTCTTCCAACTTCCTGTGCGATAGCTGGGAGCCGAAAGGAGCGTCAAAACTAAAAAATGCTATGATGTAGTACTATATTAATTGTATATGGTATAATACAATATAATACAGTTACACTACAATATACTATATTACTAGAACATACCACAATATGTTAGTAGAATACTAATACACTATAGCATACTCTATTTGGGCTGTCGAAGATGCCGCCGGGGCCCTAAAGCCCCTTTCGGCCGCCTGTAATGTCAGTGCTTCTGACATCGGTTTAGGGTTTGCCTATAGTCTCCATTGTAGTTCCTTTTTGGGTTTACCTCTTAGGATCCTTAATATAGACTTGGTTAAACCACAAAAAGGAACTGTAATGGAGACTATAGGTAGGGCCGTTCGAGAGAAACCGCACTCGGAAAGTCCTTTCCGCCGCCAGTCGGGTGTACGGGTGGGGCAGGTGGCGGTGTTATGCTAAACCCTAAACCCTAAACCTTAAACCATAAACCCTAAACCGTCGAGGCCTTTGGGTGAGGTAGGCCCCAAACCTGCGATTTGGGGGGTTTAGGAAAATAGGGGGCCCTAATGTAGTACCCTAAATAGTAGGATCCTTATTATAAGGACCCCCAAATAAGGTACCCTAATTTTCGGAAACTCCCACTTAGCTTGGCGGGTCGTGAGTCTTGCGTCTTGCCCCAAGGGTACCCCACTGTCGGAGGCGGCGGAAGTAGCCCCGTCGGATGCAGGACATCGTTTTCTGTCAGTACGAGTGCCCGGTTCTTCCCGTCTTGGGTGGTTTTTGTGGAGGGCTACAGGTTCGGCACCACCGCAACAAGCAGCAGGCAGCAGGCACTCAAAATAAATGCACAAAGGACCCCAGCACGATATCGATGCCGGGGATGTCACAGAAATACGGATCAGGAACTGACCGTCAGCTCGAAAAGATCGACTAGGACGCTGTGTGGCCGCGTGAAGAAGCGGGGCCAGAAAGATGATACCGAAATACGTCGAGGTTCATCGGCCCTGTACATGCATTCTACGCTCGTGAAGCCTTGAGCTTAACACTTACATGACCAGTAAAAATCACAATCCTAACAACATGGGTACGTACTATCTTGAATTATACCTAGTTAAGTTGCACAATCACGCTCCTAATCATAATGACAACGATAACAGTAGAAATCACTTTGACAAAGATCAAGCCGGCAATGGTACCTACAGTGACAATGATAACGATGAAGAGGTGGGAACACATGCAGATAACAATAAACAAGATAAACATAATGATAATGCCAATGCTAGCGACATTTATAGTGATAGTGATAATGATAATGATAGTTATGATGATGGTATTTGAAGAGTAAAGATAATTGTAAGGACAGCAATAATGGCAATGGAAATGAATAATCATGACAAGGTCACTAGGATGATACTTGTAATGATTGTCAAAGTGATGTGGTATTGGCTAACAGCAACATCAACAAGAACACTGATTATACCGAGCTACAGGTTCTGAAACAACATCAAAATGCCCATCAACCTCCGAATTGCTACCGACTCTCTCGTGCTGGGAAGCTTGCCCGAGACATATCCGGGGCCGAGGCTACTCCCACTCGGGTTAGGAGATAGAGGTTATTGTGTTTAGGAGTTTGGGTTTAGGCTTTGGGTTTTTAGGGGGTTCTGGTCCAGTAGGGCTTCGCCAGAGCAAGTAGGGCAGCAGGGAGAATGTCAGCGGGGACTGCTTCCCGAATGATGAGAATCGGCATAAACTGACTCCCAAAGGGTCTTTCGGTTGTTTCAGTGTCTATCCCATATTGTTGGGATTTAGGACCCAATGGGGACTGAATAGAATGCAGGAGCGTTGACCACCGAAAGCTTTCCGGTTCCCAGGTGTCGGCTTGATTTGTGGGGGTATAAGAAAATAAACCCTGCTTTAAAGGACACTACAGGTGGGGAGTTTAGGGTATATAGGGCTTCTATAAGGCTTCTATACGGTATATAGACCTTCTACAAGGCTCCTATAACCGTAACTACCCGTCCTAGACTGCTAGGCTGCAGGGGTTTAGTGGGCCTTTCGGGGTCGGTGTTATCATAAAGGGGATCAGATAACTAAAACTGGCATTTTGGGAGGGTTTGATACTGTAGCTAACGATATCAAGACACCCTAATGACAGTAGCAGCAAATATTCCGGCCCCTGTTTTTGCCCTAAAGCCGAAATGCTCTGTAGATGCCACTTATAGAACCCTTAACGGAACCATGATGTCCGGCCTCTTTGTTCTGCGCTCGTCCTCTAAAATCAAAAACCCTGAACCGCTGCAGCAAGGCTCGAACCCAAAGAACCCAAATTGACTGACATATGTGACATACCCATAGGCTCCTAAGTAGTTCCTTTTTGTGGTTTATATATAGAATCCTATAAGGTAATCCCCAAAAAGGAACTACTTTGGAGCCTATGGGTATACCTAAACCCTACACCCTAAACCCTGAACCCTAAACCGTTAATATACCATAAATCAGAATATGCAGTCCAATATGGCTGAATCTAAACCTTCTGGGCTTGTTCGGAAGCAGCCGAGATCGGCAAGGGTGGAGTTATCCTTCAAAGATATGTTGGCAAGAAGCCATGCATCTAAGGAAGGTTGAACCCTAACCGCCCCAAAACCCAAAACCCCTAAACCCTAAACCCCTAAACCCCTAAACCCAAAGCCCCTAAACCCCCAAACCCTAAGCCCCAAAACCCCTAAACCCATGAAGGCTTCATGGCTTTGAAATCCCCAGTTCCAGGAGGGTCCATGGTCAACTCACCCCCAGGACTGCAGCAATCTGCCTTCCAAAGACAGGAGGATAGCTCTCTAAATTCGAGTCCCTTTGAGGGGTCCTGTTTATGCGGCGCCTTCTTTCTGGGTTCCGAAAAAGGGGGAACCCTAATTTAGAGAACTACCCAGTAAATGCCGGGGGTCTGCACCGGACGTGCACCACTCTGCTTCCGCAGCAGTCAAACAATTACAATGATGCTAGGTTCCCGAAACCCTCAAAAACACCCATAAGCACTACGAGTGCAGCACCCTTTGCCAGGAAACCCTGCTGCGGAAACTGGAAGCTTCGGATCTGTCAGGTCTCTAAGGCGTAGTGCGTCAATATTCTTTAGGGTCTGGGGTTGGGGGGTTTTAGGGCATCATATTAGGTTAGGGGCGTAGGGCTTAGGGTTTAGGGTTTAGGGCATCATAGTGTAAGCTTGGTGTATAGGGCTACAGGAAGAGCCTGCCGCATGGGCCATCCAAGTCGCCAATCCCAGCGAGAACGTCACTCTCGGACACAGCCACAGGAGCGTGCTCCGCACCTGCTGTAGTACGATGCTGTAGGATCTATAGTGAGCTTCAGAAGGTGGGAGAATGCAATAAGCAGAATTAACCCGTGAACTCCCTTATTCCATTGTACTCTCTTCTTCAGTAACCAGGGCCCCAAGAAGTTTCAATCTCTAAAGCTTCAACATTCTCCATCTGAAAAAGTAAGAACAGTGATAAGTTGTACTCCAAAGTCCCTCTGCCCCAGAAGGAAACATGACAGCAGCACGAGGCAAACCCCCGACCCTCCAGAGAAAGCTAGAGAGTAGGAACATCATGATCTTCCTACTCATACCAAAAGGTACCTTGCTGTGGATAGCCTTTTGTATGGCCAGGACCCTACAATGAAAAACAAAACACGAAAAACAAACACACAAACGTACATTTTGGGGGTCTAGGTAAGGTAAATGGAATCCCAGCACGAACCGTCGTAAACCCACCACTCACAGGCACCTTCTAGCCAGGCTTCGCCCAAGCTGGTCCGGCGCGGTTCCTGGGATCTGCTTGACTACTTAGGCCCTCTACGCAAAGGAAAAGGCCTGCCAGCAGAGACCGCAAACAGCGGAATGCACAAGAACCATCCAGGAGAACCCTGTGAGATCAATCCCAGAGGGTCCACAATATTTATAGACTACCTCTATGGGATTGTAGTGAACCCCAGAAAGTTGGAACATGAAGTTAGGATGTTGGCCCTCCTTGCCGTAAAGGCATCAGGATAATGATGTTCCAACTTTCCGGTGTCTACTGTAGGTCCAAAAGAACATCCCCATTATGGTTTTGGGGCCTCATTCCATAAGACTGGTATTCATGGACCCTCTTAGACTCACACCCCAGAGTATGCTGCGGGAGCGTGATTCGGTGCCCAGGTAGCCCAGGTATGTAATTTAGGAGCTGCAGGGTGCGCCTACCGAGTGCGCCTCGCACGAACAATCATCAAAACACTCTGCGGCGAGTAATGTTTGATCCTTCTCAAGAACCCGATTTTTTGGTCGACAAACCGGCCGAGGAGCTGCCGTGTCCGACTTGCCGGTCTCGTGACCTGCATCGCCGATGAGGCTCATGGGTACAGGGATGTCGTCCAGTCGTGGTTTCGATTGAACGAAACCGCCTCCCAAGGTGGCATCCGACTCAGGTGACCACGGCAGATGGGTGTATTGCGGTGGAAAGGGCTGATGCCCTGCCGAGCTCATGGGGCTCTGCACCGGCATCACATTGCCCATGTAGCCGGCAAAACCAAACTGGGACTGATCAAGATATGGCTGGAAGCGGAAATCTGTATAAGGTTGGAGTGGCGGGGAGCTTGCTTGTTGCATCTGCATAAACTTGGCTTTGGCCTTTTTGTCTGTCAGCTGGTGCACGAATCTACAGGCCTCTCCCCGAGAGCAGAACCCGTTCTTCACGAAGTCAAAACAAGGCTTCGGGCTGGGACGCAACTCCGCCGTGGAGTGTGCAAACGTACAGTCTGCCCCCATTTTGCACTCCTGAGTTGTAGTGTAAGGGCCACCCACAAATATTTCTGAATCCACACAAACCTAAGCCCGAAACCCAAACCCCTCAACACTAAACCCCCTGAGTACGACTTTATCCCGAAGTGCCACCTAAACCCTAAACCCTAAACCCAAAAACTCCACCAGGACTCGTTGGTCCGCCAGAATTTACACATGCGCGTGAATTGCACGGCCCTCTTCTGCTCGGCTTTCGTCATGGCTCCAGCGATACTTGAAGGTTTAGGGTTTAGGGAAACTACTACTGTAGGGAGCAGAATAGTAAGAATAGGGTTTGGGGGTATATNNTCGGCTTTCGTCATGGCTCCAGCGATGTTTGAAGCTACCACGAGGGTTCTGTTAAGGGTCAAGGGTTACTACGAGGGCCCAATAAGGGTTACTGCGGGTTACTGAGGGTCACTATAAGGTTTTGTGTATATTAATAATTAATAATGAGTTCTGTTCATAATTAACAATGAGTTCTGTTCAGTGATGCTAGATCGAGCAACTGGAACTGCGGGGCTAGCGCGATGCACTGTGGTCAGCTCTCAAGTAAAAGCAGCACCTGACTCACAAACCCTAAACCTCAAACGCTAAANNCCCCCCCCCCCCCCCCCAGGGAACCCATGGGAACTCCAAGATAGGGCATGGACTGTAAGGCTTGAGGTTTTGAGTTTTGGGGTCCTGTTTCAGGGTGCAGGGCTTTGGTTCAGGGTGGACAGTTTGGGGCGTAGGCTTTGGATGTACCATTTAAGGTTCGGGATTGGGCGCGTGTCTCCCAGCAGTTCAGGCGAAGTAAGAGGAGCCCCTTGTTCAGTGAATGTTCTTATTTAGGGTTTAGGGTTAGGTATTGCTTGCACTTCGATGCGGAGCTACTCCTACATGGAGCTTCACCGGTGGTGCCTACAAGACTCAAGAGCATCATCTCCGATTCGCGAGGTTGTAAGTTTACGTTTATCCGCCCATAGGATTCGATATTACAAGTGTGTATCTAAGGCCCCGTGTTCATAACCTGATGCTCTAAAGGCTCCAGAACTACAGTAAAAAACAACGCAAACTCATCCATACGACTCTTAAAGGAACCCCCCAACCTTTGTTTCAGGGGTGCCTTCGCCCGGTTCTTTGCCCTGAGGGCAGCCACCGCGGCTGCAAGTTCTGCGTGCGCCTCTCGCAGAAAGAATGAGCCCGGATCTAGGTTCAAAAGGGTTCACGGGCTGTTGTAGGGCTTCGATGGGGCTTTTAGAAGGTTCCACAATGGGCATTTATATGGGTTCCTCCGTTCTAGAAGTGGTTCTATAAGAAGTCGGGAAGGGTGTCTAAAAGTTGCACTCTTTAAGCTGTTTTTAGGGTTTACGGCGCAGGGTCTGGGATATGAGTCATATGAGCCCTACCTAAACCCCCAAAAGNNTGGCCCAAAACCCATAAAAGGCTGTTATTCCACATACTTTTGGGGTCCAGGTAAACCCTCAGCCAATGAGTTCGGATGCCATGGGCGACAGATGACTAAAGGCTCGGACTTCTGTGGCTCCAGGAGGCCTTTGGCCATAGAGTCCATAGAGTTTAGGCTTCGCAGTTTCGGGTTTAAAGGGTGGGTGCGGGGTGGGGCCGGAAAACGAGCCAGCGAAAAATGCCTCGACATTGTGTGCAATGTGAACGCGACTGATGGCGACCAGTGGCTGTTTCAGGTTCAAAACAGATGCCTGGTATCAGTCATCGTTTGCACGATGTATGCAGTGTCACTCAAAGTGGTGAGGAGCAGGAACACAGCAGTAAGAGGAAGTGGTCGCAAGTAGAGCTACGGCACCAACATGTTCTACGATGCCCTCCTGCTTAAGGTACCTATGTCCCATGATGCAGCACATGCACTGCAAAACCCATCAGCAGCTACAATCGGCTCTTTTGCTTCATGGCTGCTGTCCAGCAGTTTCTCGTTCGCAACATCAACCGACATCACGGCATCCTCAATTGTCCAAGAACGCGTCACCAGGGCAGCCCAGCGAGGCTTCACTCAATCTCGCGGAATCTGCCGTATCCCCTTTCGGGAACCATTGATGATGCTCGTGGGCAGGGGGATTCGGTCCAGTCCGGGTGGTGCTGGAAAGGGCGGACTCATGAGGGCATGCGATTCGCACGGCAGCCACTGGGTTGCCGAAAAATGCGATGCATAATGCGGAGGCACTTCGATGCTCATCGGGCTCTGTGCAGTGTAGGCGCCCAGGAAATGAGAATCATAAGGCAGGAATATCTGGCATGCCTGCTGCAACTCCATAAGCTTGGTCTGGGACTATTGTCGGTCAGCTGGTGCACAAACCTGCATGACTCCCCCCGGGAGCACACGCCGTTCTTCACAAAGTCAAAACATGGCTTCGGGCTGGGACGCAAGTTCTCTGCGGAGCGGGCAAACGTATGTTCTGCCCCCCCCCCCCAAGTTTGCACTCGTTGGTCCGCCAGAGTTTATTTACACCTGCGCGTAAACTGCAGGGCCCTCTTTTGCTCGGCTTTGGTCATGGCTCGGACGGATATTGGAGAAACTGAAGCTTTGGCTACAAGCTACACTACACTCACCAGCCCGTGCGTGAGATCTGCGAACAAATCTGGAACGATTCAGTGCACGAGGAGTTACACGGTTCACGGATGATGGCTCAGGTAAGCTGAGTGTGCATGACTGATGTCACTCAGAATAGATGCTGCAACTGCAACAAAACTAACAAAACCAGATTTGCAACACAGGCAGGCAATACAAGCAAGTATAACTACAACCAGATTGAATACAGAAATACCAAGCAGTAAAGTCAGATGGAAAACAAGTGGTACGGTAACAACAGCCTAGCACAAATATACCAGTCACAATCACAACCATGGAATTGCCAACAACACTCAAGCCCGAAAGCGCGATCGAAAGTCGAGAACATAGCACAAATGCACCACACAAAAACACACACCTGCCACATGTGTCATTGGATACCAGCAGGCCTGCAACCGATTTTTGTCCATGTTCCTCAGAGCAAAGTTTACAAATGCAAATGCACAGTATACCTCTGGCGTATGTATTCTGGGCAGGAGTGGAATCCGGTAGATTCTGATGGTTCTGGTTCTGCTGGTGTGGCGGATGCTCGTGCTCATTACTGCCAAGGCCAATACCGGTAGATTGTAACCGTCGTGTTGTGGTGGATGTTCTGCTCTTGTTCATACGGTTGATGATAAAAATCCTGCATTACCCTAAGGACCCTAAACCATGGGAATTATGGTATATTCCTTATTATGGGTAATGCAGGATTTATATCATCAACCGTATTGAGAAGGCCTATATCGCTCCATTCCCCGGGATTCTCTTCAGTTACAGTCTCTGTTCTTCAAACCCTCATGGTTTAGGGTTTACGGTTTAACCCTCACCTAAAGGCTCCATGTACCCATATAGTATATACTTAGGACTTAGGCCTTAAAGGGAGTTCCTATATAGGTACTTTAGGGTCTGTGTATATACTGTTTGGGTACATGGAGCCTTTTGGGTCATGAGTCCATTTCCATTTGTGCTTCTGCTCCTTTTGGTGAGGAAGACTACCAGCCAGGGGCCTGAATATATTAGGGAGCGTTGTAACAGTAATAGTTCAGTGGCAGCACAAGCCAACACATGTCATGTCGTGTCCGTGGCTTCTGGTGCAAGTTGGCTATCTGGCACCACGCTCACTCATGACAACGATGTTCTGCAGCTATCAGCGGTGCAACCGGCATGACTCTGTTTTGCAACTCTTGCCTCGCGTTTGCTTTCAAGTCTGGCTGGAACATCAACCTGAACCATGTCATCCTCATTTGTCCAAGGATGCATATTCGGATCCAATCATGGAGCGCAAGGACCTATGAGTACAAAGATCAGGACCTAGCGCGCCCCATGGTTCCAGCACGACGGGGTGGTGATCCGCAGCTCCCCATATAAACGTAAGGTGTGAAGAACAACTTTTCAGCTATCGCCGTGATCATGCGACGATGACAGCTAGTGACCTAATTCATCCCCAGGTTTACTGACAAAAAGATGGCCCGTTGTATCCTGCCAAGTCATATCAGTTGTCGGTGCAGCCGTAGTAGCAGCCAAACAAGCAAAAGTCGCTTTAGTAGGAGGAGTAGTGGTGGTGGTGGCGGTGGTGGTGGCAGCAGCAGTAGCAGTAGCAGACCAGTAACAGTAGCAGTAGCGACAACAGTAGCAGCAGCAGAAGCAGGAGCAGGAGCAGGAGCAGCAGCAGCAGCAGCAGCAGCAGCAGCAGCCCCCCGTGGCCGTGCCCGTAGCAGTAGTTGTAGCGGTAGTGGCAGTAGCGGTAGTGGTAGTGGTAGTCGTCGTCGTAGTAGAGTAGTAG